ATGCACTAGCTGTAGAGAGTTTTGATTGAAAGAGGAATTAAAAGAGGGTTGATGGATCAAGAGATAAAGGAATGACTTAAAAGAAGATTGATAGATCAAGAGAGAGATCCAATTCAAGTTATAAATATTACAATGTTATAGAATATTATTATTGTGATAAAAAGAGACATCCAAATGTGCTGTAAGAAGCTGAAAAAGGATATAACTACTTTTATAAGGGCCAATGATGAGAAAAAATTAGATGAAGGAAATAATAATATCACTGTTGTTATGTCCAATGATAATAATGTTGTTTTGACGACTTGTGTGTATAAGATTCAGACTTTGAAAAATGATAAAAGTTGGGTTTTGGATTTAGCTACTACAGTTTTTGTATGTAATGATAAGAGTTACTTTGTGGAGTTGGAAGAGGAGAAGTATGAGGATATTATGGTTGCCAACAATGAAAATTATAGATTCAAGGTATTGAGAGTATTCGTATTAAATCTCATAATGATGTTGTTAGGACACTGCTTCATGTAAGGTATATATCAAGTTATAGTTATAATTTGATTGTTTTGGGTGAGTTAGCTTCTCATTGATATACATACCATGAACGAAATGATTAGTGCAAATTGTACGAGAATGGTAATGTGATTTTACAAGGGAATAAAGTCAAAAATCACTTGTATATGCTTGATGGAGGCACAGTTGTTAGGATTCTTGAGAAAAAAAAAAAAAAAAAGGGCAATCATGTCAGCTTTTCAAATGCTATTAAAGTGTTTGGAGATTCAACTTGATGAATGATTTATTGAGGTTTGTCTTAAATCTCTTAATCCTACACTAAAAGTTAAGTTAAAGTTATAAGAGTTGAAAATTTATCTTATATCCCATATCGAAGTTGAGTAAATGTATAAAAGATTTTACTCTTATAAATAAGATGTTTTAGTTTTAGTTTGATAATTCTTGATAGTTAGACACCAAAAGAATAGCGAAATGAGCAGGCTATTAAAAGGGTATAATTAACTTTTAGATTAAGTTTTGAGTAAATAATTTTTTTATGACTTTTCTCATTTTAAAAGTTTCATAGTTGTGAAGATTTATTTATTAGTGGATTGGGTTTAAAGTAAGTCATTTTGGATTGAGCCAAAACAAATATATTTGTGTGTTTTTATTTTTATTTAAAACTTGTTATTTTGTGTATGGTGCTACAAATACGTGTTGATTTCCTAATACATTTTGCTACCCAAAAAATACTTTGTAACAAATATACACAGGTTTTATATTTTTGGTTCAGACATTCAGTATATTACACTATAATACAAGTAAAAAAACCCAACACAAGCTACAAGTGACAATATAATATAACTAAGTGGCAACAAGTGATGCCATATGATGGCTTTTTCAAATTCATAATGCATTTAGCAAATGTGTTGCTTGACATGCCTTTATGAGGATTACTAATGGAGGGAAACAGAAAAAGAGAGCTTGAGAATAAGGAGAAGTTGGAGAAAACGATATTGGAAATGGTAAATGTCATTAAGTTTAATAAAATTATGTATTTCGATGTTGTAAATTAAGATGGATGATGTGGATTATTATTGACCTTATATTAATATGAATCTATATTTGATGTACTGTCAGTATATAGATTTTATATATTATTAGTAAATCAAATAATTTCATTTTATTAATGAATGAATATCAATCCTTAAAATAAATATATAAATATTTAATTAAAAAAACTTATTCATTAATAAGTTGGTATCATCTTATTCACCTCATTAATAAAGTGGCATATAATTTATTGATAGTATATAAAATTTATATAATGATAATGTATCAAATATAAATCTTATTAACATTTAGAAAAACAATGGAAACCTTTGTTGATTTTTAGCAATGGAGAATCCTCTCTTTAAATAAAAGAAAAATAGTTTTAAAGTGGATAGCACTTTAAAAAGGAGTGTTGGATTAAAGGTGGAAAACATTAAAAAGAGCATTTAACTGTTTATACACAACTAATGGAGAAAAGCCTTTTCTTCTTTTTTCTTCTACAGATTTAATCTACTTTAAAAATTACAACTTATTAATAATTATGGAAGTTTGGAAAGGAGTCCATCCCGCATTTTTTTTTTTTAATTTCTAATTACATGCACTTGCACATGGTTAGTTGGATACAGTATTGCCCTTCTTTATGGGATTCAATGTTTAATTATTAGAATGACAATATATTTATCCTTTCTTTTCTATTTCTTTAATCATATAGCTGATGCTTTAAACAAATTAAAAGTTAGATTAAATTATTTCATTTAGTTTGCATTACTTTTTCAATGCAAAGTTGTCTTTGAACTTGCAAACACCCGTAATCACTACAAGAATTAAAAATTGTTTTGAGTTCGATAATCTATGATTCGATTGTATTTATATGATTAACGTATATTTAGTAAGTTGGTTCCCACTAACAATCTTTTTTTGCCTTTGATTTGCCTTATTTTATGAAGTGAAAAGGAATTCGAAGGTGGCATATGGTCCAACACGACTTGTTTTAAAAATCACAGCCAACTTACATAAAAAAAGTCAATTGGAGAAAGAAGAAAAAGGTGGACAAATTTCATGCATATTGAAGTTACCTTAAGCGAAGATATTAAACTGTTGTCGTTTGTTCCCTGCTTTTTTCTTGTTGTTTGTCCACCTGTTTTCATGCCACCTCCTTCAATACATTTTACCTAATAAAGTACTGCAAGAATTGAACCATGAATTTTTAACACGTTGCCACGTACCTCGTAATATCATTTTCTCCGACTTGAAATAAATGCTTTTCTTTGCCTAGAAAATGTAAACCTTACCGCAATGACCCATCAACACATATATTTCACAATTATTCATCTCTTTTCCTCTCATCAATCTCTTTCATGGCTTCATCTACACTATCAGGAGGGATGTTGACAGATTCGAAAGAAAGGACTCAATTTCCACATTGGCACTACTCCTTTGTTCCCCATAACTTAAGCATATGGGTCACTTGGGAATCCACGTGAGACCAAGAGTTAGGCACATCTGGCCAATGCAACGATCATCATGATGAACAGCCCTCATTTGCAATTACATACATATATATATATATATATAATTGTTAACGTATATGTGGTGTATGATATATTTCAAGACAAACCACCAGCCCTATGGTTCGACCCTCAAGGCGGAGAAGAGAATCACCGCTGTTGCAAAATCTCCTTTTTATGTATCGCCAAGTATTTGACACCTACCCCTATAGGACCATACCCCCTACGATCTATCCATCGATCTAACATGAGCTCTGACAACTCAATGCCCCAAAGGTTCCTGTCCCATGCCATGTTATGAATATCAAAACGATATATCTAGGTAGATATACATGTGTCACCATTTATATTCAGTATGGCCTGGTTGTTTCATTGTTCATAGGAAAGAGTTTGTATTTGGGATAATGTTAAATGCACTCCCAAAAACCTAGTTAGTGTATACCTCTATTTGATGATGGTTCGTGAATGTAGGAGGATGGCGATTTAAATGTGACAATAATTAATCAGTCAAATTCTTTGTCAATTGACTTTCTTCTAGAATAGAAGAAATAAATGTCTTGAGCAACCAAGTAAAAGGACAGGCGCGGAAAAGAGGAGGAAGGAGTGGGGAGATTTGAGTAGAGAATGAGGGTTGCATGGGGGGAGAGGGGTGTCTCCTTTTTCCGGCCATTTGCCAATAATTGAGGGTTTACCAAGACTTCGTTTAATACAGTTAAGGCACCAATCATGGGAGTTTAATCAATCTAGTGGACTCCATCTTTCCACATACGAAAGAGCCGAGGTTGTCAAAAAGCTTTGGGACCGTGTTAAATTGTTAATGTCCCTATTCAAAAAAATCAGTATGTTTTTTCTTTTTTTTTTTTTTTTTCACATCAAGCAAGGCCTTTAAGTGGATTCCAACTCCTCATTCAACCATTGATTCCCTAACTGTAGTGGTGGGTTTCCCTTTCAAAAACCTAACCAAAAGATTATTATCCATTCTCCTTTCAAAAGCATGCAAGAGAACCTCTAAATAAAAACAAATGAATTAGCAGATTCCTTTGCTCTCTCCTTTATCGTGGGGTTCCTGCAAATCTAAGTATCCAATGGGTCAGGCATGTTCTTCTGTTTCTGAGCAATGGCTGTGCTTCCTCCACATATATAGGGACTAATATTTATTATCATGAGCTAATAGTCTACATTGTTGTGGGGTTTCAAGAGGGATAATCCTTGTTTCTACCCTTCCTCCAATTATTGTAGTTTCTGATACATGTTTCTTGTTTCAAGAACATAGGCGCAGCTTTTCGAGTGTCCATTCAAATAATTTCTTTTGCTACTAGTCAATTCAAATCATTTGTGTTCTATGGATTTTAATATCATATTGGCTAGTAAGCCTAGTCATGCCAACTCAATTCTTTTGTTTATAAATCAAAGAGTATCTATTGTATCAGGATTATCCTCTCTAACCTTTTCTTTCTCTCCCTTGTCTGAGAAAAGGGTCCATGTAGATCCATGGCATATGAAAATAGAGGCAGCTAATAATAATAACATCGCGACTAGTAAAATAGATATATGGTATACATAAAAAATGACAATATACACTTCCTTTTTATCTCTTTTGGCTTATAGATATACACCCAAAATCCAATAATTTATCTATTCCTTTTCCAATAATCAAATTAAGAGCTTCAGTAAATTTACGATGTTTACATCATTCTAGAAGACATAACTATTGATTGAGCTCATCAAACTTTTGGGGAAGATATATCTTCAAAAGATTAGAAACTCATCCTAGTTGTTCCATTTAAAAAAAAAAAAAACAATTTATGTTAACAGATTTATCAGGACAATTTGAAAAAGCTTCTTTTATAGTTTAGAAATCATTTCATGGATCTACCAAGAACGCAGCCTTATAGTTTATTCCCTGTGTTTGACCAAAGCTATTTGTTTATATATATAAATACATATATTATTACTCTCTAAATCCATGCTGCAAGGAAAGGAATCAAAAGAGAATCTATATAGAATCACATAAAGTATCTGATTATTACTTGTTTAATTTAAAGAAAAGAAGAAAAACTGTGTTTTGGTAAGGCGAAGTAGGCACATGCTGTACAAGAAGAGAAACCTTTTTCCAATATCTACCTGATGAACTTATCCTTTTGACTCAGCAGAGATACAGTTTTAAGTAAAAAAAAGGAAAATTTGATCCTAAAAATGGGGCCTGCCCACTGCCAAATCTTCCCTGCCCCAAATCTTAAATGGCTGTGATCATCTTATCTCCAATATCACCGATCCATCCTTAAGCTACAAAGAGTAAAAAGTCAATTGGTCCCCTTTGCTAGTTGCTAGAATCCTTTATTGTTGATACTGGATTGCAAGCAGATTCATAGGCTTTCTGTTTGATAAATAAATAATATAAGAAAAAGAAATGTAGACTGAACAAATGCCAATTATCGAGAATTTTTACTTTCCAAAACGGTTGTCGATTGCAAAATATAATGTTTATTAATATTGTATAAGATCAATAATGGAGGAATATAAAAGCTATCTTCTGTGCTGTTAAAAGATGATTCCCTTTTCTCGGTTCCCTACAAATGACAGAAACCAAGATAAAATTTTACCATTGAAGGCATCCTTTTTTTTCCCACTCTCAACTATGGACCATTAATTTGATCTCCATCGTCATTTATCAGATGAATAATAATATCGTGAAGCTCTGATATATTATATAGGAGAGTAATTGGGGAAGTGATGAAAGTGTCCTGGAGACCATATCCAAATCTATTTTGTATTTCACTCCAAAACAGACCCTGGAATGTCCTACCTACCTTTTCCTTTTGAAAATGCTGATGCAAGAGATTCTTCCTAACGAGATTTTGAGAGACCACCGCCCCCTACCCTGGTGGATGTATGTTACCCGTGGAGTTGAGTTAAAGGAGGCTGTGAATCTAAAAGGTGGCAATCTAAAGGTCAAAAAGATTCACATCAATTATATAGATACAATAAATAATGCAACAATTCAGAGGCTACTCTCTTAATCTGTTACCTTCAAAAAGAACTAAGAGACAATATCTTCTGCACCCTCAGATAGTGGAGTGCACCCTGGTTTTGGCTTAGTTGTGGAATGTGCTAGCTTCGTTTGCAGCACCCTAGTAACAGTAACCCCTCAGAGAGTCCACTCAGTTAAGTACCAAACTGTCTCTCTAGTAATGAAGTGACGAAGGCAAATTAAAGTTCTTAAAAAAAATCAATATATATATATATATATATATTTATATATATTTAATGTATTCACAGAAATGGCTGGGTGGCAGTGGCATATGCAGACTACCTGAAATTTAGTTACAAAAATTGTAAGTGGTGTATCAGACATTTTAAATGCATTTATAAGTTTGAATAACTTAATAATATCGTGGAACAGACACAACTTATACATTGATTGCATCACATCAAAATCAAATTTTCAATATGGCAAATCTTTTAAGAGGAAGAGAACTCCTCAGTCACAGGGTATGAATCTGCTTAATATAATTTCCTACCACCAGAAAAATTTGGATTCATCATATTATTTATAGTAAAAACGAAATAATTGTTAATGAGAGGAAAAAGAGAGACACAGAGAGTAAAATTTCTATGCATAATAGACATGTTACAAGTCCTTACCCTCGTAGCCAGCTAGTTACAAGATAAAGACGTACAAGGCTTTCAAGCCAAAAAGACAGAATTCTGTATTATGATTTGTTCTTGTTGTTCATCTTTCCTTATCTTGAACAAGAATTTACTACATAATCTAATCCCACCCTTTTACAATTCTTTCTGTTAGGGTGGAGAAATAATTTTGCCATATTTCTCGTCTTTACATTCTGGATTGAGCTCGTACTGGTAATTGTTTCCATTCAACCAGACGCCGCAAAAAATCCATAACCTGCAAAATAGAGACAAATTATGATTAAGTTACAAAAATAATATAAAATTGTAGTAGCAAAACAATACTAATTGTGTTAGTTTGGAACTTACCTCATCTGGCTCTTGTAAAGAATATGATGCACTGGTGTCCTTGGGAAACTTGGACACAAGAATTCCAAAACCTTGTCCTCTGTCTCTCAATATCTAATAACAATGAAAATCAAAGTATTAGCAAGATCCACTAGTTTAATAAACAAACAGATGCCTTGTCTTTGATTTTGAGCATAGGATACCTTAAATGCATCTTCATCTGTGCGGTCATCTCCAATGTAGACGGGAAAAACATTCGCACAGTTAGCGAATCCTATAGAAAGAGGTTTACAATAATAGTTAGTGGTTGGAGAATACCATATCGTTATTTTTCTACCATTAAAAATTTTAAGTGAAAAAAGGTAATTAAGGGTGGAGGCGGAACTTACCAAGAGATTCTAACAAAAATTCAAGGGCTTTCCCTTTGTCCCATTTAATTGTAGGACGGATTTCTAAAACCTGCATCATACAAATAGCATTCAAAGTCAGACATCTCTCACTTAAAGCTATCTATGAATATCATCAAAGTTGAAAAAAAAAAAAGTGATCAGATTGCAACCCAGCTCCTACCTTTCTGCCTTGAGTTAGCCGAAGCTTGGGGTACTTCTTTAAAACTGACCTAACTTGCTGTGCCAGCTCACTCCATTTCTGTATTTTAAAGCAAAAAATCAGATGCTTCTGAAGTTGTATGGCAAATAATAACTGTAATTGCCATTGGCTATTGGCTTTTACCTTTTCATCAACACAACGAAAGTGTACAGAGAGACAAAACTTGTTGTTCTCCACCTTAGCTCCTGGAGTTGATTTGGTAGTCTCAGCCAATTGTTTGTACACCTGGAATGTTCATGTCAATTAAAAAAAAAATAAAAATGTCAACTATTTGAAGCTCTTTGCTTTGATTCCCATTGAGTGATGAATTAATCAAGATTGTGAAGAAAACCAACCTCATCAATCATTGGAAGAAATTCACTAGCTGGTTGGAAGAGAACGGATTCACTGTCCTGAAGAGTAAAAGCACAGGAAAAACATGGAGAAGAGTTGGAAAAAGATTAGGAAAAGTTGAGGGTTTTGACCATTTGGTGAAAGTACTAATGCAGCTTACTCACTTTTTTAGATTTGGAACGTTTCTCTGGCCCTTTAATGTCCATGCCATGACTTCCGGCATAGTACAGCTCAGCTAATTTGACAAATTTATAAACCTACAAGTTGCAAAACAAGGAAACAGTTAGCAATTGTGAAAAACATAAATGGACCAAAAAAAAAAAAAAAACAAAACAAAAGGTTTTGCTTAATCTGAAGTTTTTTCTGTATCAAATTTAAGGCCAGAAAAATGCACCTTGTCTCTGCATCTGCCACTCACTATAGCAGTAGGGAAACACTTGGCTAGCTTTCTCACAGTCTTTCTCATCTGGTGTACACAAACATGAAAAGTTAGTAATAAAAAACTGCTGATGGAAACATCCAGAAAACTTATACAAAAACTATAACAACAGTTTTCATATAAACAAATAGCCAACCTTCTTCGACATGAAAGCTCGATCTGGATCCTCAACAATTGGTGAAAGAGTGCCATCGTAATCAAGGAACATTACTATTTGTTTCCCTTTCGACTCATCTATTATCTGCTCAAACATCTCCAGGGCAGATGGATGGTGGAGCTGAAAATTTTCATCAACCATGAAAATCAGAATCTTTAATTTGTTTAATAACAAGAACACCAGCTAAAAGAAAAACCGTTCCTGAGGGCTTGCAATAGCTTATCACTTACATTCCAAGAAACATCGTCATCAGAAGGGGAAGGTAGGGATTTTATATGAGTTGGAGAAGAAGCTTTCATGGAATCAACCCATGCATTAACTCTTGCTCCAGCATTGATTTCAAGGTTTTGAAGCAACTTCTTTCTTGAAACGGAGATACAACCAGGAGGTGCTGGCGGCTTTTGAGCTGATACGGTCATTGTGATTGACATGTTGAGGACAGATTTTGCATCAGAGATTACATTTTGACCAGCAGCCATATTCTTTGGTCTTTCTTCAGAGAAACTCACTACAAGAAAAACCACCCACGCCAACACTTTTAGTAAAGCTGCCTTAAAAACTTAAGGCCACAGTTTTTAATGTGCCCCAAAATCCAAAACCAAACTTACCCATTACTGGAAATTAAGGTAGTTAAAAGAACACCTCAAACTCAAGAAGTGTTTGGATGTTAATGTCAAGGTAAGAGGAAGACAGTTCAAACAGAGGAGTTTACAGAGTACTCTGTTTCTTTTGTCCCGTTGAAGCCCAAAGACTAAGGAAGAGAAACCAAATTGAACGACTGAAAATGAAAAATAACCAAAGTCGACAAGAGATTTGTCGAACCAAGGAAGAAAGATAGACAGAGAATTATAGAGAGCCAAGAGAGGAGAATTTATGTGAGAGAGACAGAAGGGATTGAAGCCCATTTTATAGCAAAATCAGACTCTAACGGACGAAACAGCCTCTTCCAAACTCTTAAAAACATGGGACCTACCAAAGCTGTATGGTCCTGTCCCGCCTCCTTTCCCAAAATCCCGAGTTTTTGATTGATGTTTTTGGGAGGATGACTAGAAGGCGGAGAGGTAAACCAAAAAAAAAAAGAAATTGCAATTACCATGCCTTGGTTAAACAGCCGTCTTAATTAGCAGTCACAGAAACTTGTTAAAAGGCATTTTTAACAGGCCGTTAGCAGTTTGCCACGTGGACGACATTTCTTGGTGGACTAAATCATGTGGGTTTCTGCCACGTGTATAACGAGCCACATGTTAGACACACCGGTTTATGGGAGCTGTTTTGCCTTGAATGGACCAGCAACTCTTTTCTGATAAGCTAAATGAAATTAAGGACCTCAAAATTTTCCTGTAGTGGAAATGTTTTGGCACTTTGCTCTTTCAAGTTTCAACGCCTCTTGTAAACGAGTGCAAAACCAACAACTCCAAACCTACCTTTGTTATAATGTTGACCCGAGTGACAAAGAAGGTTCATTTTTTTCATAATAGTTTGAATTCAATTTCGTTAAAAAATCATAAAAAAATATATTTTAATAAAATTATTAAGTTTGATGCAAAAAAAAAAAATTATTTAAATAACTTTTAAGAAAAATGTATTAGACTATAGTTTACCTCTAAAAAAATTCTACCTTGTTAAGCAAAACCAGCTGCAAGCTCTGAATACAAAGATTTTTTCCCCATCTAATTGGGATTCTTGTTGTTTTAAACTCCCCTATTCTAATCCTCATTTCTAGGCCAAGCACCAATTATTTTGGGATCTGCTAAGTTTTTGAGCCCCGACCTAAACCTAATTTGTTGGTCAAATGATCATCAGTTGCCTTAGTTCGTAATATTAAAATATTAAAATTTTGACATTCGAAAATTTGAGTTAATAACTGGTATATATTATTTGTTAAAAAAATAAGGTATGAATATTTTTTTCGAAATAAAAAATATTAAGCTTTTGGTTCATAACCAATTATATTTTTTGTGTTAAATTTCCTTAATTCGTTGAATCAAGGAAATAAATAACTGTTAATGGTGCATGATTTAGCATTTATTATTTAACATGCTCAACGCATTGCTGGGTTACAGTTGTTCAAAATTAATGAATCCCAATAATTGGCTTTCTTTAAATATACAAAATAAAATTTAAAATTTAATTAAATTGATTTATGTAATTATTATTGATAAGTAATATTTAACAAGTTTGAATTCTACAATCCTCTTTTTTATTATCAAATTACAATATCTTTTATATAACAAAAATACAAATTAGAACTCTAAACCTAAGCCTTCCTTGTCATTCATTATTATGCTACAACTAACGTGGTATCCATAAAATTTTTAGATTAATTTATAAATTTCACAGTAAAAAATATTATTTATGTTAATTTTTAAGATAAATTTTATTTATTAACAATTATGTGATTTAATAATAAAATGTTGAATTATTACTTTTAATGATTTGGGTTCAATTTTTAACAAGTTCAAATATAAAAATGTATATATAAATAACGACCTCATGTTAAATTATACTTTTGATAAAGGAGGAACAATTAATTAATAAAAATTCGTTCAAATTGTTGATTTAATATTGAAGTATTGGGAATACAAGAATTTGAGTTGTATCTAAGGTAAATGAAATGGAACTGGAATGTTTTAAATATCATAAGATTATAAATGATTTTCATGTAAATAATGAAGAGCAGGTATAGATATATTTTATCCAAAGTTTTATCGGTTTTACTGTATTAATTTATAACATTAACAACAATTTTAAAACATCAGCTTGTTCCCTAATGAATCAACAATGACAAATTTCTCTGCCAATGACATTGAGCTTTAACTATAAACTAATGAGAAAGCAATTTCTGCAAGGAGAAAGAACAAAATGTAACAACTGGAAACCCACGATCATCAAAGATCGAAAAAAAATAGTTTTAACTGCAGCACGTGTACAGGCTTCCCATAATTTGCAGTACGGACCTTAAAAAAGGGATTGTACCCTAGCCAGTGTACAGTAGTCACCTGGCCTTAGTACTTTGAGGGTTATATGGAGACATGAAAGTCCAAGAAAAAGTTTGTTAGGTTTCTTTCTTTAATTCGTCCTCAGTCAAATGAAAGGAAAAAAATTATTATATTAATCCACTATATCAAGTTTAATCAATGATGATATAAACAAGTGTCGTGATTGAGTTATTAAAATTATTGTGTTGTATCTTGATTGTTTTATATCTTATAATTATCAAGTTAAGTTGGTATTAAAAACTTATATAATAATTTAATTAATCACAAAAAAAAAAGCAGTATGTGAAGAAAGAGAAAGAAATGTTTTTGCAGTGATTAAAATGACAACACAATCCCTTCTTGTTTATTTGGGATAATCTACGTTTGAAATTAGATTTAGAAATTACAAATTATAAATTTTATGTAATTGATTCATATAATTATTTAAAAAATAATTTTTAATAGATTTAAAATTTAAATTTAATACTTACATTTTTTTTTATTCTTAAGTTACAATTTATTTGTAAAAAAAGGAAAAAAAAGAACGTAATTGATTATATTATCCTTGTTCAATTTACCACAATTACTTGTATGGAAAGGATGTGAATAAGATTATAAGATTCTTGATAGTCGTTTCAAATTATTAGGATTTAGACAACTCTTTCTAAATTCAAATCAAGATATAGAAATTTCTTAAAAAAGGAATCAAGAATGTTAAATATGACATATTCAAGTTTAATTTAACAAAAAAAAATACTTATTTTTATCTAAACATAATTTTAATCTAATAAAATGATAAAAAATTATACATGAAATTTATTTATAAATAAAACTCAAAACTTAACATAGTTCATTTAGTTACCATTAAAAGATAACATTTAGCAAGTTTAAAATTTAAAATTTCAGCACTTATAATATTTTACTTTATCCTCAGGCCACTAATTTTTTTTTTTTAAAATTTACTTGTAAGAAATTATTTAAAAAAAAAAAAACGAGTAGATTCTGCTAACCATTGACTGGGCAATCAAAGGAGGCCAAGTAGAAGATATGAAACTCATATTATTCTGTTAAATTAATATAAGAGATTCTTATATTTTATGGTTGTTGGGTTTAGAATTTTTCACATGCAAAGGCGCCAGGTTTTTTTTCTTTGGGAAGGTTGTGGGTTTTATATTATTGGATTTTTTAAGAGAACTTTCGGTCATATATATACACTTTTGAAGATGCGAGATGCTTTCAAACATAATTGATCCTCTCCCCGAAATTATTGTTGAAAGTGATTCCTTGGTTGTTACCTCGTGTTTGAATGCTATCTCCGAACGTCCCTGGAAGTATAATGCTGTTTTAAATAGGTTCTGCAATCTTTATGCTAGAATCAGGAGAGTTTCTTTTGTTCATATATTTAGAGAAGCAAACTCTTTTGCCGATTCCCTTGTTGAACTTGGTGTATACGAAGCACTGACCTTGTAGCATGGCTTTAGCCTATTTTCTTTATTAATAAATTATCTTTAACTTAAAAAAAAAAAAAAGGAGGAAACGAACAAGAGGAAAAACTATGGCAAAAGTGAAATAAAGTTATACAGAAATCCTTTCTTAATCAAAAGGTGAATCCCGTGTTCTTTGCCTAAATCTTCGCTTTTATTCCTTTTTTTTTTCCTTGTTTTAAGTTCTGAACAATTATTCTCTTAATTATGTTTTAAAATTTTGGTTCTCTTTCCTTGTAGTTTCGCTTGCTAATGACAAATACATGTGACATACAAATATAAAGAATCAAATTCCATGCCAATGTTCACACTGAGTTTGTTATAAAAGAGAAAAAAAAAGAGGGAATGAAACAAGGTGAGGAAAGAAAAATGAAGGAGATGAAAGAAAATTATTTTTCCTTCATTGTGTTTGATATGAAGAATGAAAAATATAGGAAAAAAAATATTAAGAATAAAGTTGTAAATAAAATTATTAATTTAAGTTGAATTGGCATTTTTCCTCTCATATTAGGTTTGAAGGAAAGGAAAACATGTCAATCTACTTACTTTCTTCCCCTCCTTTTATTTTCGTCGTACCAAATAAGGAAATGATGAAAAAATGTTCTTTTTTTCTTTTACACCATTTCTTTCCTTCCTGTTTCTCTCCTACCAAATTTTCCCACCAAACACAGTGTTAATGTAATGCTAAGTATGGTTAAGCCTACAAAAAATATTTAGCTTTAATTTGACTACCTATTTGTTCTGGGGATGTGCTAAATGAATTTAGTTAATTAGAATGTGAAGGATCAATAGTATGGTCTATAAAAAATACAAACTTTAAAGATAAAAATTATATATTTCATATTTTGACTGTTCAAACTGATTGCTTTCATTTACTATTTTCCACTCTTTAGTGTTTCTCTTTTTTTTATTTTTTTTTTTAAAATTAAGTTCTTTGGTTTCCTCGAAATTAAGTTTTATTACTAGTAGCAAATTCAATAATTTTTTTTTGGAATCTACAAATCTAATAAATTAATCTCCATTAAAGTAATCTCTTTATTAACTTTGGTCTTGATATACCGACATTATTAGTTCAAGAGTAACCAAAGTCATGTTTACATTATAGTTCAATTTCTAGTACTAGAGCATAAATGTGAACTACAAAGTAACAAAGACTTTTCCTCATTTTCAATCCTAATGAAACAAATAATGAAGCTTTTAGCTAATATAAAAAAGAAAAATGACTTAGGACATTGTAGGATGGCTCTAGCTGTGCCTAATCTTTGATTAATGAAATGATTTCAATTTCCAAAAAAAAAAAAAAAAAGACTTAGGACACTTTCTCAAGATGCATTAGTCACATTCAAAAATTATTAAATTAACATGCATGCTATATCATAATTATTATTAATGGTTTTATCATGTCATTATATTGAAACTACATGATTAATTTTTGCATGATCACACATTCTTAATTCACATTTACTCTTTAATTAACTTAACTACTTTGATGCGCTAATTGCATATATATATATATATATATAATTGTTAAAATGTTTAGGTAAGGGGAGCTACTCATTTCAAAGTCGAAGCACGTACGTAAGTGTATTATAATAGATGTCGCCAATAATTTACATTATTAATTGTAACAGTGGAAAATATAAGTGCTTGCCGGTTACCCAACAAAAAACATCCACGGATGCCCAATAGAACCCAGAAACCTAGTGCGTTGTCAATCTTAGCTTTGTAGCTTTTGGCCGTTTCCTCTCACATATCGGGACAACAACCACGCAGTTTGTTCCGTTCAAAGGCCGACACCGCAC